ATAAAGGGCTAAAAAATGCAGAGAAAATTTGAAGTAAAAAGAGAATTGCATTTCTTAGAAGAGATACAAACCTAACGACGATAGCCTCCAAATTCTCATCAACTATAGATGGACCATAGGGATCCATGATGGGTTCTACATGCACAACTAGCTCCGGCTTTACAGACTGAAGATAATTTGCAGGAAAAGAATGCAGGTGTTATCTTCACAAAAATACATGAGCAAAATTTTTCTTCACTTTGAAAAAAAAAGAGGGAAGATAATGTGAGATGGGGGGCTGATAGTCCCCGTTAAAATACACAAACATTAAAGCATCCATCAGTGGAGTGCCTTCATTAAACACAAAGCTTCAAAATTTTCAGCCTATTGCCACTCTTCCATCTTAACGGAATAATTAGTCATCATCATACATGGAACAAATACCTTAATATAATCTTCAACATTTTGCATTCTTCGTTCAATAGGCTCTATAAGATTAGAATACTGCAAAACAAGTTCAAAATATATTATTGATACAACTTTGCTTGTTGAAGAAAGAAAATTACCATGAGATCATAATATACATAATCAGAATTCTCTATTATTAATTCTGCAACGCACGATATGCTCAACGGGCAATTAGGCTCTTCTTTGATTATATATTTGATGAAAAAAGAGAAGAATTTTAAAAGCTGGTACATTTTATTCCTACCCAAATAAAATTTAAATCTAGTTTTATCTTTTTCAAATATGCTTAATATGATTAAACTGCAAGCAAAAAAGAACACATAAATTTTAAACTTCTCCCCTTTTTGGTACATCATGTACAAGTCTGCTTCCCAAGACTAACTCAGCGTTTTCATCAAAATTTGGGGTTCCAAACAGAGCCTTATGGGCTGATGAACTACATAGAAAATCCACAATAACCCTGAGATCAGAACGGTTATTTCCTCTGTGGCATTTCATCAAATAAAGACTGAGCAACAAACCAAAAACTCAATTATGAACAATAAAAGAGATTCGTATTTTCGATTCTCCCAATCTTCCACCCAATATGTGCTGGACTGTCGAGTTGTGAATAAGTTCAGTTCCGTTTTCAAATGGTCATAGGATCACGCCATCATCAACTAAAGCTTTGTTTTATCCGTAAAAATGATTTACAAAACTAAGCCAATGAACTACGTTAATCCTCAACGACAGGAATTTTTTGTAGCTAAACTTTGGGAGAACAAGAATATAGCTGTAGGCTCACTTGAGCATTACTTTGATTCAAAACGATTGTACTTTTTCAAGCACCAAACAAAATCATATCTTCACAAATTATCTCAAACCCATTGGGAATTAATATGATCAAAACAAAATACTTCTGTACAAACAAATTACAATACAATAAAATTTATTACCTGTTTCTTAGTTAACATAGGACCATCGCACACACCCACCACAATTCTGTCCCGCGCCACCTCCGCCGCCGCCTGCAAATCAAACCACCACCACCACTTTCAAATTCCCCATCATAATCAATTACACGTGCGGGCGCGTGCATCGATATTCACAATAATTACATACATGTATGCAAAGATGTAGACATACACCTTAAGAAACTGGCGATGGCCGTCATGTAACCGATCAAAGGAGCCACCAAGAACCACCGCGCAATACGAATTGGGATTAGAAATCGTTGAATTTTGTGAAGATTTTGCGTTCAATATAGCCATTTAATTTATGGG